TCCGGAGGCATCACCATCCCTGACCTCAAGCTCTATTATAGAGCTATAGTCCTGAAAACAGCTTGGTATTGGCACAAAAATAGACAGGCAGACCAATGGAATCGAATTGAAAATCCGGGTATTAACCCACACACGTACAAACATCTGATCTTTGACAAAGAAGCTAAAAATATACAATGGAATAAAGAAAGCATCTTCAACAAATGGTGCTGGCATAATTGGAGACTGGCATGTAGAAGAATGCGGATCGATCCATGTTTATCACCATGCACAAAACTTAAGTCCAAATGGATCAAAGACCTCAACATAAATCCAGCCACACTGAACCTCTTAGAAGAGAAAGTGGGTGGTACCCTTGAACGAATTGGTACAGGAGACAGCTTCCTGAACATAACACCAATAGCACAGACAGTGAGATCAACAATTAACAAATGGGACCTACTGAAACTGAGAAGCTTCTGTAAGGCAAAGGACACAGTCAGCAAGACAAAAAGGCAGCCCACAGAATGGGAAAAAATATTCACTAATCCCACATCTGACAGAGGGTTGATCTCCAAAATTTACAAAGAACTCAAGAAGCAAGTCTCAAAAACAGCAAAGGACCCAATTAAAAAGTGGGCTGCAGAACTAAATAGAGAGTTTTCAATAGAGGAGTCTAAAATGGCTGAGAGGCACTTGAGAAAGTGCTCAACATCCTTAGCCATCCGGGAAATGCAAATCAAAACAACTCTGAGATACCATCTCACTCCTGTCAGAATGGCTAAAATCAAAAACACCAATGACAATTTATGCTGGAGAGGATGTGGTGAAAGGGGAACACTCCTCCATTGCTGGTGGGAGTGCCAACTGGTTCAGCCACTTTGGAAATCAGTATGGAGATTCCTCAGAAAAATGGGAATAAACCTACCACAAGACCCAGCAACTCCACTCTTAGGCATATATCCAAAAGATGCCCATTCATGCAACAAAGATGTCTGTTCCACTATGTTCATAGCAGCTTTATTTGTAATAGCCAGGACTTGGAAGCAACCTAGATGTCCCTCAACCGAAGAGTGGATAGAGAAAATGTGGTACATCTACACAATGGAGTACTATTCAGCAGAAAAAAATAATGGAATCATGAGATTCGCAGGCAAATGGATGACACTAGAAGAAACCATCCTGAGTGAGGTAACCCAGTCACAAAAAGAGAAACATGGCATGTACTCTCTCATATATGGATTTTAGACATAGATCTGGGGAGTGCCAGCCTACAATCCTATGGCCAGAGAGTCTGGGAAACAGAAACTTCATTTAGTGGCTGGTTAAGTACTGAGCTGAACTCAAGAAAGCCAGTAACAGAGAGGGAGGACTGATGATCAAAGGGATTAAGACTGGGCTGGTTTAACCCCCAGAAACAGCTGACCAGACAAAGGTTAACTCTTGAATCCCAGGCATCAGCCTGGGAATCCAGCATGGGACTGATCAATACCCCTGAATTTGGGTGTCAGTGAGGAGGCCTAGGGAACCTATTGAGCCTTGGGCAGCAGATCAGTACCCATCCCAAGTATACACAAGGACTTTGGACTCCCATAGAACAATGTGAGGTGCACTCTCACCTGAACTCTTGGGGAAGGGCCCTGCCCTATATGAAATGACAGACTATGGACACCCCCATGGAGGGCCTCACCCTCCCTGGGGGAATGAGGGGATAATGGGGGGGTTGGGGGAAGGGCATGGGAGGAGGGGAGGGACCTGGAACTGACTTGTGAAGCAACCTCGTTTCTTATCTAAATTTAAACTGGAAAATAAAAAAAATAAAAAATAAAAAAAAGAAACACACAATATATGTCCACTACCTCGGGAATAAGAATAGGCTATCCACTCTCTGTATTTTTTATTCCATAGTGTTTAAAGTCATAGCTAGTGAAATATGAGAATGAAGTAAATAATGAGGGTATTGAAAATATGAATTTAAAGGATCTTTATTTACAGATGACAGAATTCTATGTCTAAAATCCCCTAAAAATCCATCAGAAATCTCCTGCAATTAATATATACATTCAGTTAGATAAGAGAACACTGCCTCAGAATAGGTCTTATTTTCCAACATCCAATATTCAAAGAAAGAAATGTAGAGAATATGATATCACAGTTTAATTAAATAACCTTAGGATGAATTATCATGCAGAAGGTAAATATTAGTGCACTAAAGACTCTGAAGAAAGGAACTGAAAAACATACAAATAAATGTGAATTGATAAACTACACATAAGATAGTTTGATCATCTTCACTTTCAAAGGTTATTTACAGTAGCATGGCACCTTGATCTTGGCTACATGGACGAAAATTTATGTCGCTACATTGGTAACATTCATTTGTAGTAAATCCTTACAAATTCGTATTTTGTAAATTTACATTATTATTTAATTTGATTAAAGAAATTTTGTAAGACATATTCCAATAAAAAATAAGATGGAAACCTGGACTCATAATCAGTGTAAAGATTCAGCAAAATTCTAACTATGAGTGATTTGTCACTTGATTCCTGAGAACTCAAAACACTTGTATTTTGGGGCTGTCACATTAACTGATAAAGACAGAAAAGAAAATGCTTGATATGGTATTTCCACACAAAAATGGCATTAAGAAGCCTATAAAATTCTCCTATCAAGCAAAAGACAGTAAAATAAGTCTTCAGGTTTCCCATTGAGTAAATCTCTCAAGCATACATTGACAATCAAATATATTCAGACACAGCAAAAAATACACTGTTGTTCAAAACATACCAAATATAAGATGCTAGAATTGAAGTCTTATGTCCTCATCTCTACATGTTCAGAACAAAGAATGACCATGTAGAGGTTGTTCTCAGGAACAAATGAAATGATAACAAGCCTTTCAATATAGAAATGTGCTAAAAAAACGTACAGGATTATAAAGATTATGTTTTTCACCACTGACCATTTGTTATAAAAGAACCAAATTGTATGCTCTTTTCTAGTGAAGACTAATCCTCTTGCTCTCAGGATTTCTCATTTACCTCAGTTTCTTTGTATAATGATGAGTCATATTGTGCTTTTTCCCTGTCCATTTTAGCATGTCTATTGTTGACTTGTCATAAAAACATACATAAAAGAAACATTGTAGTATAAGAACAGCTTGTGTTTGTACATATAAAAATAATAAATTTGTGTTGTTGTTGAATTCTAACTTTAAAGTATGGTGGTCTGATAAAATACATGGAGTTATTCCAATTTTTTTGTACCTGTTGAGGTTTGCTATGTTGCCAAGTATGTGGTCGATTTTGAGGTAGTTCCATGTGGTGGTGAGAAGAAGGTATATTCTTTTGTGTTTGGATGGAGTGTTCTATAGATGTCTGTTAAACCCAATTGGGTCATAACTTCTATTAGATCCTTAGTATCCTTGTTAAGTTTCTGTCTTGTGGTCCTGTCTAGTGGTAAGAGTGGGGTATTGAAGAAAATCAGTAGCGCTACTATATACAGATGATAAAAGGCCTGAGAAAGAAACCAGAGAAACATCACCCTTTACGATTGCCACAAACTACATAAAATACGTTGGGGTAATACTAACCAAACAAGTGAAAGACCTGTATCACAAGAACTTTGAGTCTTTAAAGAAAGAAATTAAAGAATACATCAGAAAAATGGAAAGATCTCCCATGCTCTTGGATAGGTAGGATCAATGTAGTAAAATTGGCAATCCTGCCAAAAGCAATCTACAGAGTCAATGAAATCCCCATCAAAATCCCAACACAATTCTTCACAGACCTTGAAAGAACAAATCTCAAGTTTATATGGAAAAACAAAAAAACAAGAAAACCCTGCTCAACAAAGCATCACCATCCCTGACTTCCAGCACTATTATAGAGCTATAGTCCTGAAAACATCTTGGTATTGGCACAAAAATAGACAGGTAGATCAATGGAATCGAATTGAACACTCTGAGATTAATCCACAAACCTATGAACCCCTGATTTTTGACAAAGAAGCTAAAATTATACAATGGAAAAAAGATAGCATCTTCAACAAATGGTGCTGGCGTAACTGGATATTGGCATGTAGAAGACTGCAGATAGATACATGCCTATCGCCATGCACAAAACTTAAATCCAAATGAATCAAAGACCTCAACATAAATCCAACCACACTGAACCTACTGGAAGAGAAAGTTGGAGGTTCCCTTGGATGAATTGGTACAGGAGACTGCTTACTGAACATGACACCAGTAGCACAGACACTGAGAGGGACAATTAATAAATGGACATCCTGAAACTGAGAAGTTTCTGTAAGGCAAACGACACAGTCAACAAGACAAAAAGGCAACCCACAGATTGGGAAAAGATGTTTACTAACCCCACATCTGACAGAGGGCTGATCTCCAAAATTTACAAAGAACTTAAAGAGCATGTCTCCAAAACACCAAAGGATCCAATTAAAAAGTGGGGGACTGAGCTCAGGCAAAGGGAATCTGCACCCGTGAGGTATTTGCATATACTAATGGGCATTATGGCGAATGCCAAGTGCCTCCACTGAATGCTGCAGATACGAGATGACAGTCACTATCCTGGACACTATGGGGCACTGTTTTCTAAGTTTGTAGAGGAGCCCTTCCAGATTATGGCCTTTTTCTGCCCATCTAACTTGGAATACTCAGGCACAATCCAATTGTATCATGTCAAATGGCCTTGTGCCATAATTTTATGACACAAGGTTTACAACTAAACTTCCCCATTTGGGTTTGTATCTGTGGTTTTTCTATTCTTAGACATATTTTTCCCAGAATGTTTTTTTCTCTTGAACAGAAAACCCCAGATGTAAAGCCTGAGGGTAGAAAATGTTGAAGATTTCTCCAAGGGATTGTAGGGAGCAAATGCGGAATAAATAGGTAGTGTTGCCTGCAACACTTATAAACTCCAGACAGGTTCACACATTCACCTGTTGAAAGGGTGCACTTGAAATTACTGCAGGTTTCATTTATACTTAAAGAAACACTAACAATGTCCACATTGATTTACTTCTTCTTGACTCTGAAGCTTCCTGTGCTGCTGTGCAAGTTGGTTTTCCCTGGATGTCCTGTCTCTTGGACAGACTATGTATGCCGGGATGGAGACTTGATGATCAGTGCATTCTTACCCCTTTATACCCATCAAACCTCCCAGCACAGTAAAGGACCAGAGGACACAATAATTCATCCACAGTAAGTATATCCTGCCTGCTCTTCCTAGCCCTATTCTCCAGGATGTACGCTTAATGCATTTCACCTGTTTCTTCTAATCAGTGCTCTCTTTCCAATGCGGCAAGAGTTTTTCGTTTTCATCTTTTTGTCTATTGCCTTTTATATTTTATGGGTGAATTCTGAGCACAAAACTACTCTCCAGACATTTCCAACACATCTCTCCCTCTTTCAGCTGCCATGCAGAGCAGTAAATGATGTAACTTAGAAATATAACTTGAGGCCTGGGTACAAAATTTGGTACTGAAAGTAATGAACTATTCCTTCTGCAAAATATGGATCAGTCATGCTTCTGTGCATTTCCTAATGTCTGTAAAGACTGGGTGTTACCGTGTGCATGATAAATTCCTGAGGAGACAACCTATTGCATTTAGTTATTTCCAGGTCTATTCATGTCAGTACTTCCTGTCAGGTGTCCTCCTGAAGGTTGCTTACAAATTCCAGGTCAGGAACTATAATCAGACAGCTGTGATGTTAACAGTCCCTCCAGGTGTTGAGCAATGCAGGTGCACAGACATTGCTTTGCCAATTAACAATGTCACCAATTCAATCAATGAACGGACTAATAAATGGCCCAAACAGATTTGCACCTAGCTTTCTGCTCCTGTGAGCAGAGAAGGTGTCGAATGGAGAGAAGCTAATGCCCCTGTCAGTTCCTGATGTGACAGGTGTTGTCTGTGGATGCTGTGCACACTCGGCAAGACAAGAGGCAACTGTTCCCGCTTAGAATCTGTCTCGTCTTTCCACAAACCTAAGTGTCGGCTGATATTAATGCATCCCTGTCCACTTTCTCCTTGTTGATTCCTTCTCACTTTCTGTAGCTGTGCCAGTCAGATATGCTTGCTGTTGTCACTGTTTTACCATCTTCACTAATTCCCATGACTCTCTGCGTATTACCAATCCTCAGATGAGGCTCACCTGAAGTTTTTGAGTGATTTTTGGGATATCATGACCTGAATCCCCTTTATATCTAAATATAGCACTTACTAGTGGCATGTGTTGAATTTGGTCAGCTTTTTTGTGTGGAAGGCAAACATCAAGCCTTCTTAATCTGAAGCTGATATATAATTAACCCAGGCATAATCAGTACTTTGTCTAATTTTGTTCATGGACCAATCATAATTTTATATTTTCAGAGAGTGTCAAATGTTAGACTGTGTGAATAAATGTGATAATACCAAAGGACATAAATTCATCAGCTTAAGGAGTAGTTTTTTTGGGCAAAACCTACAATGTCAAATTGAATCAGTAATGGATTTTCTCACCCTGAGACATGTCCTTACTGAGAACGTTACTAAATGGGCATTGTGCCTTCATGTTGTGCATATAAAATTTTTTGTAATTTGAATGAGATCATGCCTTAATGCAGAATATGCCTTCAATATTTTATGGATGATTTAAATTTTTACAAATGTATATACTTATTAAGAATATATTCTTGATTTCAATGGATTTAAAATGACTCTGTGTTTCTTGTTTGTTTTGAATACATTTGAGTGTGATGTGTTGAAGTATGCAATAGCATACGTAGTTAAGTCATTACTGGTGTGGTAAGCGGTGGTTGTAGATTCACCTCTAAGATCTATCCGTTTTCAGTTGGCTCAGTTTCCATGCCAGTCCTGTTCACCTTCTTGCTAAGCACACATTAAGTTCAATTAGATATCTATCTGCAATTTATTCAACCAACCCAGTCTACCACTGAGCAAAATATGTGTTTTCAATCCACTAATTCTTCATAAACTACATAGAAATTTGAATATACATTGAGCTTTGTATAAAATCATTTATTTTTAGTCTTAAGTGAATTACATTTTATCACTTTACTGGTCCTTTATTATGAGTGTGTCCAATGTGTGTGTCTGTCTGTATGTGTCTGTCTGTATGTGTCTGTGATTATCAGTATGGACACATGCATGCCCAACTCATGAGGAAAACATTGTATGTTTCCTTGAGGTCATTCTTCTTCCAGACATCATTTCTTGCTTACTGCCGTGTAGGCCAGGCTTGCTGGTCAATGAGGTTCTTCTGTATCCACCTCATATGTATCGGTAGAAAAGCTGCATCACACAAGCCAGCCACAATATCCAAGATTTTCTTGTTTTCCATTCAGTTCTACTTCAAAATTTCTTGACTTAAATCAAAGGGAAAACTATAAATTGACCTCTGGAACAACATTGAAGTTGGCATTGTCAAACCTAATAATAAAACTGGTTTCCCACAATAAATTTCTCCATTATTTTCATCTTAACAATGTGTGTTTTAATGTTCTTTACAAAGAGTTTGATTTATTATTTGTCTTTAAAAGCACTTCCTATTTTCCTCCCAATTACCAATATTCTTTCAAAAATCTTTGTGTGTGTGTGTGAGAGAGAGAGAGAGAGAGAGAGAGAGAGAGAGAGAGAGAGAGAGAGAGAGAGAGAGAAAGTATGAATGTGAGGGTTGTTTCTGAATGCAGTTAGGAATGTGTGTATGTGTTCTCTTGCAAACATGTATATGGGTTTGCTCCTTATCGTGTGTGAATAGGAGTGTTTTTATGAATATTAGTGTGTGCACATACATGTGTGTTTCTCTGTGTGTTTTAGAATGGGTATGTTGCTTCTTGTTCATGTATATGAATGTATGGGTCAAGTGGGTGTGTGTAGATGTGATGCGTGTTGTTAAAAGCCTGTATCTATGTAGTTCTGAAGAGAATATTGGGTGTTGTTCTTCATTTCCCACCATTTTTTATGCAGAACCACCATGTAACTCATTGCTGTGCACACCAGAATGACAGACTAGGGACTTCTGGGATTCTACTGTTTCTCTGTCCCATCTTTACACAAAGACTTTGGGATAGAAAACATTTGCTACCATGGCCTGGCAATACAAACTCAGGTCCTCGTGTGTGTGTGTGTGTGTGTGTGTGTGTGTGTGTGTGTGTGTGTGTGTGTGTCTGTCTGTCTGTCTGTCTGTCTGTCTGTTTGTCCATCATGTCCCCTGTCAGTAACATCCGCAGCTACCATCCACAGTTTGGCAGCTTGGCTTGGTCCAGATTTACTTTGTCTTCAGTTGTTTTCTAACCCAGATTGTATAGTTCCAGGATCATATTACCACAGTCATTCACATTCAAGACTTTGGTGCTGAGGACTTTCCCTCATTTAAGACAATTCTTCCTTTGCCACATTCCTCCTCCTATTTATCTTTAGAAATATTTCACCTACATTTGAACACTCATAATTTCCATATTGTAACGTAATGTGTCTGGATATTTACTAGTTATACATGGCATGACTTTTGAAATTCATTTTTGAGCTTCAAGAAGATTATTCTTTGTACTTAATGAATTGGGTTTCAAACACCGATTGTTCTCCCTGATCTAATCAATCAAAGCCTCCGTGACTGAGCAAAAAAGATGTCTCTGCTGGTAACATTCTGAAATCTCTGTCATGTAGAAGTTGACACACTTATTTTTACTCAATCATAATACTCTGAATTTAAGGTTTTGCTGTGTTCTGTGTATGGACCCCCTTCCCAAAGCCCACCTTTACAATGCTGACCACTCAGCTTTGGTTCTAGAAGTTGTTGGAAATAAATACTAGTGAGCCATTGCAGTACATCTAGGTCTCATGCAGAAAAAGGAACTTAACTTTTTCTTTCTTTTTTTCTTTTTTTTTAAATTTTAAGTAGCTTGTTTTACATGTTAATCCCAGTTCCCTCTCCCTCCCATCCTCCTGCACCTCCACACCATCCCCCCCATCCTCCCACCCTATTACCAATTCCTTCCACATAGGGGATATCTAGAGTCTGTCATTTCATTCAGGGTAGGGTCCAGGCACTTCCCTAAGAGTCCAGGCAGAGAGAGCAACCCTCTTTGTGTTATGGACACACGATGTTTATTAGTATTCAAGGGATAAACACTGATCCACTGCTCAGGACCTCATAGGTAGCCCAGGTCTCCTCATTGACTCTCACATTCAGGGGGTCTGGATCGGACCCATGCTGGCCTCCCAGCTGTCAGTCTGGGGTCCAAGAGCTCTCCCCTGTTCAGATCAGCTGTCTCTGCTGGCTTTGCCAGCCCATTCTTTGCCAATTTGCTCATCACTCCTCTCTCTCTGTCGCTGGGTTCCTTGGGTTCTGTTCAGTATTTAACTGTGGGTATTTGCCTCTGTTTAATCAGTCACTGGATGAAGGCTCCAGGATGGTTATAGACATCAAGTTCACTATCAGGAATAGGCATTCGAGGTGGTCTCTCCACTATTGCTTAGCTTGCCAATTGGTGTCATCCGTTTAGATCACCAGAGGTCACAATGGTGCCTTATCTGTCTTCTAACCTATGATTCTCTCTTCCCCCTATCCTACCCCCACCCAGTTGACCTTCCTGTTTCTCCACGTCCTACTCTCTCTTCCACTTCTCCCCCTCTCTATTTCCCAGGTCCCCTTCCCCCCTCACCCCTCGCCGTGTTCCCCATCTGTTCAGAGGATCTTGCCTCATTTCTCTTCTCTTGGGTACCATGTATATCTTTTAGGTTCTTTCCTGTTTCCCAGACTCTCTGTCAGTGGAAGTGGAGACTGGCACTCTCCTGATCTATGTTTAAAATCCATATATGAGTGAGTACATACCATGTTTGTCTTTTTGTGACTGTGTTACCTCACTCAGGATGGGTTCTTCCAGTGCTATCCATTTATCTGCGAATTTCAAGATTCCAATGTTTTTTTCTGCTAATACTCCATTGTGTAAATGTACCACATTTTCTCTATCCACTGTTCAGTTGAGGGTCATCTAGGTAGCTTCCAGGCTCTGGCTATTACAAATAATGCTGCTATGAACATAGTGGAGCAGATGCCCTTGTTGTATGAATTTGCCTCATTTGGATATATGCCTAAGAGTGGAATTGCTGGGTCTTGTGGTAGGTTGATTCCCATTTTCCTGAGGAATCTCCATACTGTTTTCCAAAGTGGCTGTAGGAGTTGGCACTCCCACCAGC